TCCTCTGCACCCTCGCCGAACGGCCTAGCATGCTCTGTGAATTCCGCTCCTTGGAAGCCATGTCTCGGCTGAAAACTGTTGTATAATTCTGCAAAACGGCGAGACTCCCCTTGGAAGCAGAAGAATGCTCAATTCTTGCATATCTTCAAGCTTCTGTCAGCAGCGATTGCTGACTGATGAACCCGATCCAGCCTCCAAGCCATGCATTGGCGGCCGCACATCGAACTGATTCTATGGAGACTGGCGAAGGTGTCGGTACCGAGTGCTCTGTCTGCTCCAACATTGCATACTTGATTCTGGTTGTATCAGAAGCAAGCTACGGCGCATGACCTGGTAGAAACACGTCTGGATGTGCAAAAAGGATATGCATGGTCATCTGTTCAGCACGTTTCTTGCCAGGTGCCTTTGGACTTCTTTTCTAGGTGCGACTTAGTTTGCTAAAGCTTGGCAAACCAGGGCCCTTCAAATTGCGAATACCCGATAGTTTGACGTACGACAACACTTGCCACAGAAACACAGCAGTCTCTTCTCCTGTCTTGCTCGTGTCTTTCCTCGATGTCTTTCCCCCTTTCCTTCCTTGCTTCGGTTCTTGCAGCCTTCAAGCCTTTCTTTCGTTTGTAAGTATTCCTTGCTTTCGTGCTCCTTCCGTCCTTGCTCCTCCTAACTTCCTTCCTACGTTCCGCCATGCACCGCCACTGCACAAAAACATGTCAACAAATGAGTAATGAAGCTGTCGAGCGAACAAGTCCTCCGTCTAAATCTAAAGATGGTCGGAATGTCCAGGTATGAGTGCGTCAGACAACCCGCGGATTATGAACATGTTCAAGCGGGTGCGTGCTAAAGCTGCAAGTCGGCGAACGACGAAGTGCCTCAACCTGGAAAGCTTGCGGGCATTGTGTCACTACAAGCGTGTCGTCAGCATATTGCATTCTGTCAAAGTCAAAGATCGATTTGCGCTCGCAGTGATACTCATGCTTGCCATGGCCAGTACCATTCGTTCATGACCAAAACAAACAAACATTGTGAAACCTGAATCTTTTTTGAAGCCTGAGCTCTGAACTTTGATGTTGGATGCGCTATACTTGTGCAAGACGGGTCCCTGCTGAGTTGTTGTGAGCACAGAATGTTTCAATGGCCAAAAAAAGCTCCAAAAATGCATTTCCAAAATGCCCCCCCGGCCCCGGGCCCCTGTCCAAAAATGCTTTACAAAATTGTACTATCGAAAGGCTTTCGAGCACTAATATACCAATTTGTTCGCAATTCATATTGTGAAATGCATAAATTCACGGCTGCCAAGAAGAGGCCAACAATACTGAATAGATGCCCCCATTCAAGGATAAATGGCAATTAAGAGAATCATGTACAACATATGCAACGAGAAATGAATGAATGCATGCATGCATGAATGAATGTGACCTTGTATGTATATTTTAACCAATAAACATACACATAATGAGGGCACCTGACCCCAGGCCTCACCCTCCGTACCCACATTTAATTTCACCTTTGGGAACCATAAACACCATCTGACAAGTCTAGGGTATCCCCTGCTGCAAATCGGTGCTTTGCATGATGAGACTCCTCTTTGAACAGGCTCTACATCACTCTGCTTCGCCAAGATCTCTACATCGACGACGATTTGGGTAGCAGTGTTGAAGGCCTGTGGAGTTAGGAGTGTTATGAAGCAGTCATTGTTGTTTCTGTGGAAGTATATGCATAAGCTTATGGAGCCGCGCATTCATGCGCGCGAAAACCACAGGCCATCACGGATTATGCCGAGACGCTGGAGCAGCCACGGCTGGAGGATGTATGAGGATGTGTTCCTCCCTGCTAGCATGGCTGGGTCCCATGCAATTGCCTGATGCTCGGCGTATGTTCGTATCCCTTCGCGAGCTATGTTTACGTGACAGAAGTACTGGCAAGGAAACATATGAAAGGTGCCTGACTGCTCGTTAGAATGCTAGCTAGTAGCAGCTGCTAGGACTGCAAGAAGTACAGGAGTACCGTGCCGAGAGATGGGCTATTGACATTTAAGGGTCCTGTATGCTCAAGGGGTCAATAGGAGGCAATTTTCAGTGCATTTCCAAGACATTTTCTGGAGCATTTTGTTTGCATGTTCACCTGTTTCTTCATTTTGGAGCTTGTGGCAGGCAAAAAAGGCTCCAACTCTGAAAACAGAGAAGCACATTTTGTTTCATTTTCCGAGGGAAAATAATTGACAAATGCAGAAAAATGCAAACATAATGCAATTTCCTTACAAAGGGTGCGAAAATGCAATGTTTTACGATTTTCCAAGGAAAAATGCTGGAAAAATGTAAATAAACAATGCAAAAATATTGCAATTTGCCTCGAAAAGGTACATTTCTTTTGGAGTTCTCCCAAGGAAAATGCTTAAAAAATGACAGAAAATGCTTGAAAAATGCATACACATGCTTTCCACTCCAGAAATGCCTGATTCCGTTGAAATGTTGGTAGATTGCCAGCTGCAATTCTGGAGCAATTCCAAGGCATTTTCCACGGATGTTCCTGTCCAAGTTGCCTTTGGGAAATGCTACAAAATGCCTCGAAAATGCCTCGAAAATGCCTCCAAAAATGCTTGGGAAATGCATCGAAAATGGCCTCTCGTGAAGACTAGGCAGCAGGGTGTTTCTCGAGTGGTTATGGTCGTCGGCTTGACAGGATTTCTTGGGCAGACAATTGCTCTATACGTTCAGGTTTCTCTGCTTTCAGTCGGTTTTCATGCATATGCGAAGAATTGGCTGGAAAGCCCTCACTTCCATCCCATTGCAAGCATCGCTTGCAAAAGGTCAGGAATGTTTGTTTCTTTCCGAAGCAGGCAGCTACAAGCTATGCAGAAACCCTTTGCGGATTCAGTATGAACTCCTGCTGTGCTTGAAGTAGCTAGGCCCAGCTAGGCCAGTTCTGTTCGGCAACTGGGATTGGACATGTCTTGCCAAGTAAGTATTTAGTTCCAATGCTGAACATGACACGAATTCCCCGGGTTGCCGGGACTGGGACTAGGAGTCATGACCTTAGATGCCCCAGATCGGGGCACAGACCGGAGAAACCAGGTGGGAAAATGGGAAGAGGAATCCAACATTTCGCCAGGGCTGGCGCTGTGGACTGGCCGGCAGCAGTTCCAAGGCATCGGGCTGCCAAGGACAGAGGGTGTTCATGCGCTTGTGGACATCACATGTGCCCAGAAGGTTAATTACTCTGGGTGCTCTTTGCGCTTGATCAAGTCGGTTGCAAGCCCAGCATGCAAACTTGATGTAGGTCCCCAATGTAGGTGAATTACGGCAACATGGCAATATGTCAGCCCGCTTCCAGTGATTCTAGTGTGTTTAATACAGAGTGATGGCAATTATTACATACCTCGTATATTGCCACTTCACAAGGTCATAATAGGTTGAAAGGCATTTTTGAAGCTTTTATTGAAGCATTTTTCAAACATTTTTGCAAGCATGTTTAGTGCATTTTTTGCATATATTTAAATGCCCAAAAAAGCGCGGCAGCAAATTTTGGGCATTTTGCAAATGCATTTTAGAAGCATTTTTTCACCAGGGGCAATTTGGATTTGCATTTTTGGCGCATTTGTTTTGCAATTTTAAATATTTGGCGGCCCTAGTATCTCAGCAGGGCCCGCCGGTCACAACGCTATACTTATCCCCATGCATAGGCATAGAACCCTGGGTGCTTGTCTCAGTTCATGAGGACATCAACAGAGTCGTAGTGGATCCGGGCAAAAGCTTCCTCCTGATCAAGCGTTGCACTGATGAAGGTGCTGCCCTTCTGCGCTGTGATGTCTTGGACACGCCTCTAAACGAAAACAGCTGGTGAAGTGCACGTAATACCAGTTGAATTGCAGATAGCGTGCAACCACGAAAATGTTCGGATCAAACACAAGTATGCTTCACAGACAGAGTTCAGAAGTGGAATGGGTCTGTAGTTTAATGGTCGATAGGTGTCACCCTTCTTGTGCAAGGCCACAGGGAGAGCTAAGCAAGCACTTTTGGGAATCTGCTCTGTAGACCACCAGTAGTTGATGATGCTTAATCTTCGGGCACAGCCTCGCTAGCTCATCAATTTACACTCCATTATCAAGTCGTCAGTTTCCGGCTGCTTGTTGTTCGTCATTCTGGCAAATTGGCCAGTTGCATACGACGTTCTTTCAAGTCTGGTGAGAACCGAGCCATATTTCAGCAGACCACTCGCCACACCACCCGACCCACCTCTCTGCAGACGGTGGGTCGCCAGGGCATGTAGCTTGGATGTATCAGTATGAATGAGACTCTCATGTCGACCGGCCTGCCTGCTGGGTATGGCGCGAGAGTATTCGAAGCTGAACTGAACAACGATCGTCTTCACCACAGTGGTAAACGAGAAAAGCTCGAAGGAGTCAGGCCCGGGTGCTTATAAAACTAGGAATTCTAGTGGTCGGGCCACTACAGGTGCAGGTGTCACATGGGCACGCTGACGTGAAAACCACTTCTTCCAGCGTTTGCATCGACCCGCAACTAGCTGTAAGATGGAGCAACACGAGCAGCCAGCCTTTTGTTGCCATTCAGGCTTTCGACATCTGTCGTCACACCATTGCGGCTGGAAGCAGACTCTCATGTTGAGCACTGTCAATTCGTTGTTCTAGTTGGCTTTTGTCGCGGGTGCGCTGGCTTGGACTTGAGCTTACCATTGCATGTCATGACGCATGCCACTGCTTGTCCATGTATCTATGCTTCAGGGACAGAGAGGACCTCCGGCACCTGCCCGGTCCTGGCGGCGGGCGGAGCCCAAGGCTTGCAAAATGATGAAAAAGTCAACACACCACCCTTCCGTCCTCAGAAACTCTGTGAGGATCTCCACGCAATCATCGCGCCTTTCGTTGCCAAGTTGATGGGGCCTTCATGGCACGAGGCATGTCTAAGTGGACAGCGGTGTCTCAAGTTCTCCTCTTTTTCGTGCTGTTCGCGGGAGTTCGTACATCTTCCGCTGCAGCACCACTTTCAACGGGCTGGCAGGTCAAGGTTACATGCCACGCCACCTACAGTCATGCGAGCAACAGCGACATGCCACAGTTGATGTGAAGAGTCGCGAGAGGCAGCAACAACTACATCTGCAATGGTTCCACTGGAACCTATTAACCGCAAACGTGCATCGATGAAGGTGGGCGTGAATTTGCCAGTACATGACTCGATCTGCGAAGGGCCAAGCACTGCTTGCACGCTGCGATTTTCTAGAACAGACTTCCTGACAAAGCCGTAACTCTGCGATATTCGAAGGGATCTCAGCATTCGGCTGCCCGCTGCAACGAGGGTTCCAAGGACAGACAAGCAGAGAGCTATCTTCAAGTTGGTCCTGGACCGATCACTCTTGGAGGTGACATCGCGCCGGACACACATGGTTTCATACTCTGGCAATCCTGACGGGTCTCCTTGCAGCACACGGGGAATCTGCGCGGAAGTCTCGCCCTCCAGAACGACTAGTGTTTCAAGCTTCCACATAGATGCAGGCTGCATCTCCTCCTCGCTGCTGCTGAAAAACCCTTGTCGGAGAAGTCGCACCCTTTGTAAAAAGCCTTTCTTTAACTCCCAAGGGCGAAACCAGTAATTGCCATGCTCCTCTGCATCATCATCTTCTTCCCTTGGCTCCGACGCCTCGTGAGTTGTCTTGTCGCGTATGGCTGAAACCAGGACATCTGCAACATCGCCGTCGGAACTCTGCACCCTGAAGTGCGCACGCATCAAGCCAGCAGTTTTGTCAACGTGTCCACGCCGTGGCCAAGCACTCAATTGAAGTTGGCTTCCGAGGCCTGTGTTTATTGACGGATCCTCGAGCTTCCTCAGCGCAAGCTGGACACAGGGAAGGCGCTGCTCGAAGTTCCGATGGAGTGTGTAAGCAACTCCGCACCCAGCAGCACCGGCAACTGTCCAAGCTGCCGCGATGCCGCGCTGCTTCAAAGCACTGGCCATGACACAGTTGAAGCCGAAACTCAACAAGTCTAAAGCAGTGCTTCATACCAGCTGGGTCCGTCTAAGATCGTAAATCTTAAATTACATTCGCATTCGCGCTCAAACCAGTATGCATCAGCGACCGGGTTCTGTCAATGTCAACCACAAGGCAGTGCACACAAAACACTCTTTGAGTTCGACTGAGTCCGAAGCCATCCCTTGGCATAGTCCACTGCGGTTATTCTCTTGTCCTACACGATGCTTCGCGTTGCTCCGCTGCCAAATACTGCCGTAGAGTCAGTCCTTCACAGTTTTGTCAACGAGGCCGATGTCGGCTCCAGCTCGCAGCAGTGCTGAAAGCACCTCCGACGGTCCGAGTCCCGGCACCCGCGAATGCCCAATGCACCGCAGCCCAGCTGGCGTTCTCGACGCATGGCCTTGGCATGACCGTTCTTGGCAGCAACCTGACATTCCGTCACAAGATATCAAGGAACATCCTGCGCCGCAGCAAGATCAAAAGCAAAAAGGTCAGGTGGTGTCTGGAGGACTCCCCTCCTCCTCCTGAGAAGTCGACCATCAGCGGTGTTTTGCCCTCTTTGTCGGGCAGATTGATGTCAATGAAATCCTGTTCTGCAGGCCAGCCCTCCTACGTGCTGCAGCTCTGCCCACCCCGAATATGGGAACTCTGCATTGCTGCCTGGGCCCGGCTGTTAAATCGGACAGCTTCTGATTCTCTCCAGGATAGCAGACGTATCTGTCATGTCCACGGCAATAGTCCGAACTCTGTGGCATACACATGCCTACCAGTAGGTATATAAGTATATATGTATATATGTGTATATGTATACATGTATATATGTATATGTATATGTATATGTATATGTATATGTATATGTATATGTATATGTATATGTATATATATATGTGTGTGTGTGTGTATATGTGTATATGTGTATATGTATATAT